TTCTTTTTTTTTAATTTAAAGAAACATATTTTATTTTTCTTTAACTAGGATGTCTTACAAAATTAAAAAAAAAAGTATCGAGTGTAAATCACAAGGAAAACATTGCCCAGAGAAGTTATGGACTCCCCATCCCTGGAAGAGTTCTAGGCCAGGTTGGACAGGGCTTGGAGAAACCTGAAACTGTGGAAGGTGTCCCTGCCCATGGCAGGGGTTGCAACAAGATGATTTTAAGGCCACTTCCAATTCAAATCAGTCCATGATTCTCTGATTCTGTGAAAAGAAAGGGTGTGCTACAGGCAGCTCTCTGGAATTTCCCCTTCAAAGCCATTTGAGCTGCTTTGCCCCGTAAATTACTTTCAGAGATTATTTGGTGAATAAAAAAATCTGACACACCCATAAATTACTTCACAAAAAAAAAGGAAAAAAAAGAAGAAAAAAAAAGCCCAAAAAACCCCACCTCTTGTTGAAATAACTTCCATAAATTACTTCAAAAAAAAAAAAAAAGCCCAAAAACCCCCCACCTCTTGATGAAATAACTTTTTTTTAATCAGAAAAAGAAGGAAATAGGGAAAAATTAATCAGGTCTGTTGTTGTGATACAATGCCCTCATGTATTAAAGGGTTTAAAGGCAGAGCCTTGGATTGATTATCTCAGGCCACCTGAGAACATCATGTGGGAAGTTGTGATACAATGCCCTCATGTATTAAAGGGTTTAAAGGTAGAGCCTTGGATTGATTATCAGGCCACCTGAGAGCATCATGTGGGAATTTGGGAGCCCTTGGATGGGTGACTGAGTGTGCAGTGGTCACTGCACCCTCAGGACACTTTTCATATGCTCACCCTTCTTCTGTGGCAAGCATCAGTAATTTGAGGGCTCTTCTATCTGTAAGAAAGAACAGTAAATTGCTTTGCAGATGCCAAAGTGATAATATTTCTGCACTCTGCCATTCAGCACCGAGCAGGTGATAGGAGGTGCCTCATTCTCTGACAGGACCTGTTGTTTTCCAACAGATACACACAGGAAAAATGTTTGAATTTTAAATCGCTGGGAGATGTATCCTGGCAGGCATGGCAAACCTCTGGCAGGGCAGTACCATTTTTCAGCCCATCCATATGCAGCAGATAGTTGACATTTCCAAGATGCATTTCAAGGACAGCATAAATCATTCAGGAGAAAAAGTGCTGTGAATTTACGATGTTGTTTGGCCGTTGCCCTGTAGCCACTTTTATTCATTCAGACCAAGGGGTTCAGGCTGTTGGCTGGAGAAAACCAACAGGAAGAGCTGGTTATGACATTTTAGGGTACTTTAAATACTCTTTCCAAGGCTGCCTAGAAAATGGTGCTGAGTGGTTGTTCAGTGCCTCAGTCCTTGCCTCTGAGGGCTGTGATGTGTTGTGAGGAAGAATTAGAGTTCTGCTAAAATCAGATGGGAAGGTAAGTTCTATCTGCCTTTTTTGGAAGCAATAACCACAGCTCCTGATGACTCACAGTGCTGAAAATTGTATTTTCTTGCACCAATCTAAGCCAGTGTGACCCATTTATCCTGAATTTAACATATGAGCACGATTATTTTATAAATCTTCTCGTGTGCAGAATTTGTAACTCGATGTTTACATTGAAGTTTGCAAATTACTAACCCTGAGCCATTTTAAACTTTGCTCTGGAAGAATTGTCATCGTTTTCCTTCCCTTTAAAATCCACAGTTCTATCTTCACTAAGCCTGAGGGCCTTTTGTTCATGGAATGACACTTAAAACTTTCCAAGTACATGGCAATTCAAATGGACAAAATTCATTTTCATGCTGAAAGCAATTTCCCTCCAAACTTGGCTTTTAATTAGGAAAGAAACCTCTATGCATTACCAAAATACTCATTTTTTTCTTTTTTTTTTGCCTTCTTCTTACTGTGCCTCTCAGTATGCTATATTGATTATTTTTAGCCAGAAGTTGTCGCCATAAAAGAGGGTTAAGCTTATTAAAGTGCTAAAAATAAAAGCATGCTATGAAAACCTGAAGGGGCCCATTTTGGTTACTGCCAAGTGGGAGCATTTAAAAATTCTCATTCACGAGCTCACTTTGCTGTCTTTCAAGTGGTTTAGCTGAAATTCTGCCTTGTGAAACCAATCCATTGTTGCTGCTGTAAAAATTCAGGTCATGTGAGTGATTCCTTGAAAGATTAGGGCAAAACCCCCACTCCAGCCAGTGTCAATCCAGTAATTTCCCATATAAGACTCCTGTTGGTCATTAGAAGGGCTTGATCTCAGAAACACAGATAAATAGCTGGAATTGAAAGATACCTCTTGGGGTCATTGTTATTTCCATCTCTGCATGATAAATGTGTCATAAAATCATAAAAAATTGAATCTAAAGCCTGGCTAGCTCTGTCATCTTAGCTACTGCTATTGCAAGACTGTGTTTTAGATGAAAAATGATAAATATTTTCCTAATTGTCTGATATATTTGGTTGCAAACACCATCTGCTTTGGTGCAGCCCTATCCCTGAGTTTATCAGAATGTCGACTGCATCCCCTTGGGATTTTTGTTCTCAAATTGCACAATAAATTTGTCACCAGAGTCTGAAGGCAGAAAGCCATTGTGGGATTCAGTGTCTTAGAGAAATTCTGGACCCAGGGCTGGATTATTTCATCTGTTTGGGAACAAACTCACTGTCCCTTCGTGCCAAAGGGAAAGGAAAAGGCAGATCCCTCCAGCAGGTTTTTTCAGCCTATTGAGGACCCTGCCACCCTTGTCTCTCCATCCCCAAGTGAGGTAGGAGCCTGAAAGTGGCCAGGGTGAGGCTCTGAACCACCACTTGTTCAGCAAAGATTCACAAAGAAATGTCTGTCAGTGACATATTCATCATTGACTTATCAACATCATTGAATTATTGATTACTTCTTTGTGATTCGAGCCAAATTCTCTTTCCTCTCCTTGCTTCCCTATGTTAATCAGCAGAAATACCTTGTTAAATTGCTTTACATATTTATGTCTCATTTCTGTAGAGTTTTAGAGCTGGTTTGGTGGGATTTTTTTTGTTTGTCTTAGTTTTTCCCCTGTGCCTCAGGATTACAAGTTGCTTCAAAAAATAGGATTTAAATGGGTGCTTTACTTATTCCAAGGCTGATATTTCCCCCACTGGCAGAAGGAATGAGCAGAAACAGTTCCACCAAGGCCAAGCTCCCTCTGTGACTTGCCATGAACTCACCCAGGACATGGAGCACATCCTTCTACCTGGGAAAGCCTGTGCTGGGAAAAACAGAGATGATATTCTCAAAAGCTCTGCCTGAGGTGTGGTTCTTCCATTCCAGGCAGCACTAAAGGGGTGTGCACAGTGTTTAATTTTATCTAACAAAGGCAAATCTCTCCAGGCCTCCCTGCAGGCAGAGGAAAGCGTTGGGTTCCTCTGGAGGGCCTTTTAAGGGAGCTAAATTAAGCTGCTTCTATGATTTCCTTCTTCCCCAGGAGAAGTGCAGACAGATAAGTCTTGTTTTAGAAGGAGATATTTAATACATTTCTCCTCTGTAGCTCCTCTCTGCCTAAATGATTCATTTTCTGAGGCCAATCAGCCTTTAAGAGATGTTGAGCAGTGAAGGGTGTCTGCACTAAGATCCCAAGGAGCTTTATAAATGACCAAGTTCTGTGACATTGATTAGGCACTTGGGGTTTTGCTCTTTTTCTCTTTTGTTTGTGTTTTTTTTTTTTTTCCCTTTTCTTTGCTTTTCTAAAAATGTATTTTATTTTGAGTTATAAGTGCTTAATTACCTTAACAGACTTTAACACAGTTTCATTTAAAAATGACAAAATGTGAATGCAAGCACTTTCCACAAATTATGTGCAAACCCTCATTTTCTTTGTCCACCACAGAAGTGGCAAGATTAATTCCTGTTCTTTCCTTTAGAACCTTAAAGAAAAAATTACTTGAATCTTTTGTGGCGTGCCTTAATCCAACTCCTTATACTATTTAATTGAAGAATTTCCATTGGTTTTATTAAGGATTAGAGAAATCCCTGGAACTTTATTCTCCAATTTCTACCTGAGGCTGAGTTCTCCGGATTGAGTTCATGCACTCTGTGGTGTATTTTGTGCTCAAAACCACCCATTTAATCAAGAAACAGACCCAGGCACATCCTTTTCCAATGTGAGCAGAAATTATTGGCTGCATATCTCTTGGGGGTCGAGATTTCCAAGATTTCTGCTGGAAAAACAAAACCTTTTTTGCAAATTTTATACCATAGCTGTCTTGCTTTCTAAGCACAGTCAGGAGTCAAAGTTAATATTTAATTTTGATGGAAGTAGGGACCCAGTTGTGATGGGTAGCTGATAATCTTTCTTTTCCATTCTCATTTTGATTCCTTCTGGATCCAGGCTTCCTCCAGTGCCAAACACAGCAGTGTAGGGTGAGATTCTTCTCATTTCATTGCAGATTCCAGCAATTTTTCTCAATCTGAGCCATTTTACAGATCCCCACTGCAGCTTGGAAATGTGGTCCAGGAGTTTGGCTTGTGGTTTGTGTAATCTGATCAACTCCTGGAGAGTGAGTAGAAATTGCACACCATGGATCTGCTCTCAGTGATATTGTCTGAGATGATTTGATCAAGAGCAGACACCTGGGCATGGTCAATAACCCACATGGACCCACGCGAATCTTATCCCTGAGCTCTAATAACGAGATAATATGAGGTGCCAAGTCCCTTCTGTAATTTAATCCAGTAAATTTGTCAGTCTTGAGCCACTTTCTGTTGAATTCCCTGTCATTCTTCCCATTGATTTCAGAAGGAATGGGATAAGAGGCACCTCCATCCTGTCAGCTGTCAGTCACCCTGACTGATGGGTTTGATGTTCATCAAAATGGGTGTTGGTCCTCCTTCCCTGCAGAAATACAGGTCACAAACAAGAGGCTGCTCCTCTCTTTATGCCTATGAGTAAATTACTAAATTGCTGTTGGTGTAAAACCTTTGTTTTTTTGTTCTTATCCTGTAATTATCTTCTTTTAATTTGCAGATAGCATTGAAGCCAACATTGAGGCCTCTTCTTCCAATGTAGAATCAGCCAATGAGCAGTTGGCAAAAGCAAGTCAGCACCAAGTAAGTGGGACGAAAAAAAACCCTACAAATTCTTTCAGTGATAGTATTTACAATAAACAAAACACCTGGCATTAGGTGAAGCATTAGGCACACGGATTTGTGCTACCTGAAAAGATGATAAAGCATATTCTAAGTAGGAACTGAACTTTGTCATATATAAAAATATAGATGGATATATGATTAGATTACCATAGCACAGATAATTTGCTTTAGAGTAGTCATTAAGAAATCTGCATATTAAACAGACATTTCCCAGTAGGAAAGTCAACAATTAGCTACTGTTGTTCTTGGAAAGACACCATAAAAAGCACATCATTTAAGTGCATATGTGCTTCTGTTTGGTGTGTTTCCCTATAATCAGGCAACAGTACTTTAAGAAAACAACTTGAGTTGTCAAACAGCATGATGTGGTTGGTGAATAATGGCTGTGGTGGTGGTGTTCAGCACTTTTCAAAAGCAATTTGAGGGATTTTTTTTGTGAATTGTGTTTTTTTTCTTCATTGGAGCAAGAATAAAACACACACACACACACACACACACACACATGCACAAAAACATTAATCTTTTTGAAAACAGCTTGCCCAGAAAGAACTCTTTGATGGTTATAGTTAGTACTTTCTAGGGAGATGAAGGGGGGTGGGGGAATGAAAAATCAAAAAATTGTTATCAATTGCATTGTGACAGACAGAAGAAAAACCTGCTAGTTTTCTTTTTTTCCTCAAGCATAAATTGGTGATTTTAATGTGTCTGGAGTTTCGACAAAATGTAGCTGAGGTCCCTGAGAGCACATGATGCCTGTTAGTTGTCCTTGGACACAGTGAACTATCAAGTTCTGGGGCAAACCTCCAGACCAGAGGAGAAAGACTCACAGGCATTCCACTCTGATGCAATGGAGTGATGTGTTTGTAAAATTATCTGCAGCTCATTTCCTAGTGAACACATTGTCCCAATTTTTGGTAATAAGAGTGAGTTTTGTAGAACTTTGGTATTGCAGAAAATAAGCACTGTCTTCAGCTACATGTTGGTTTTTAATGTACATATATTTAAGATAATGTGTGTTGCCCTGCATGTAATCCTGCATTCACTTTGAAAATAACTTGTTACATGAAGTCTAAAATGAAACTGGAATGGATTTAATACTTGACCTGACTGTAGAGCTGATTGCAAAGCTGCAAATGAGTTAATGATGACTTTGGCTAAGAAGGTCAAAGAGGAGTCAGGCAGAAAATGAATGCAGCAGAGTGTAAAGGCTCTGCTTTCTTCAGCCAGCAGGAGCTGCTGAAATAGCCTGCCCAGACAGGAGGCCCTTTTTCCCTCAGATATGTTCATCAGGATAAAGATAAAGCCAATTTTAGTGAGACAACCCCTGCCAAGGGCATAAATATGAACTGATTGGTGTACATGAGAAAACAGAGTCTCTCTTGTGCTTGAAACAAGCCCGTAATGACAAATATCACTTACAAAAGTTTGGCTGCTAGAGGAAATGTGCAATCCAGATCTCCTGTGAAGCACAGGGAACTGTTCTGTACCCTACTGGATGTGGATCACCAGAAAAATATGTATAAACCTGCGGAGTCTTTGCTTCTTTATTGCCAGGGTTGGGATTTAATGCAGGAGACAGTATTTCTTGGTCAGACTCAGATGTTTATTAGTTCTTATTTATATTACAGTCTCACAAACCCTGAGTTTTACAGCACTTTAACAAAATGAAAATGGAGACCTATCTCTCTTTCTACAAGACCTTTTAAGGATAAATATCCAGTTAGGAAATGACATCTAAATTATTTTTATTTTTAACCCAATAACCAACCACCCGTTGCCCAAAATGCAGACTTTTTTATCCAATTACACAAAACCACTCAAACCGATGGAGAAGGTGAAGAAGAGGGACCAGTGTCATCCCCAAAAACCTCCACCTTGCTTTATACATATTACTACATTCTAAAACCTTAAACTCTAAGTTTTCCACCCTGTGATATTACACACTCCTGTTCAAACTCTACACCCATAATCTCAATTCTATCATTCAATTTTGGAAGCCTTCTCCACGGCCTCAGGTCAAATGCAGTGTTCTCTTGGGGGTCAGTGCCTGTCAGCACAGAAAGTCTAAAATTCTCAGCATCCAGGGTTCCAACATAAACCCAGATCACTCTCTGTCACCATGAACAGAAAACAAAAAGTGACATTTTTGTCACTTCCACAGCTGGCCAGGGGTTGGTCAGGATGCCTCTTGTGTTGTGTGCCACAAAATCTGCTCTTCTTACACCCAAAGGGACAAGGTCCCCATGGTGGGACAGCAAGGGTCCTGGTGCCACAGCCCTCAGGGATGCTGTGGGGAGGAAGGCTGATGTCCCTTGGGTACATTTGGATAATGCAGTGTGAGTGCAGGTCGTCCTTCCTGGTGTTTTGCCTGGTTTTGGATGCTTTGGAAATATCTGGGATGGGTTTGGGAGAGCGATCAGCCAGATGTCCCTGTGGGTGAGCTGCTTTTAAGGGACCTGCTAGAGCTTTACATGCTCCAAATTCCATCTGTGCTCATCTGTGCTGCTCGGGGACCAAAGGCACAAACTGTTTCTTAAATCTTACAGAGCAGTTTTCCTTCTTATGTTAAACTGCTAATTCATGAGTATGTTTGCTTGTTACTTATGTTACAGTGTGATTATCCTGTAAATGCAGGCTGGCTTACAAACATTTGTTATTTATTGCTGTTTATATGTATATAAACGTGTGTGTGTGTGTGTATGTATGCAGTATTTTTATTAGTCAGTGTAGTGTTTTTATTAGTCTACCAGCAAATGTATACATAAATACAGAAATCAGAAATGTCAACACCACTGAAACATTTGAGTTTAAGACGTTCTGTGGAACTTAATGGAGGGATTTCTGTCAGGAATAATGATTCAGTGGCTGGTTATTTAGCACAATATTTGCATGTAACCCATGCAGTCACTTCAACAATACAACTTGGAGAACCAGTCCCAACGTGCACATTAACATAACAAAGAACCAGTAAATAGTTTTTACTTAGCTACTACAAAAAAAGACATTTTAGGTTCCCTGAAATGATAGAAATGTTAAAAAAAAAGGTAAATATCTTCACGATGAGCTCCTTTGTCTGCATTTTAAATTTGGTAAGGTGCTCCTTCCTCTTGAGATGTGTGTGCTAACAGCAGTTTTTTATTCCTCGGTGAATTCTCATGTGATCTAAACTCTGAAAGATTAGTGGGAGCTGTCAGAGCTTTGGAATATGTGTTTCTATATCTAATCTATCTATATCTATATCTAATCTATATCTATAGCTATATCTATATCATCTATATGTATATCTATCTGCCTATACCTATCTATATCTATATCAGCAGATTACTTTCTTTCATTTTAAATTATAATTGGAAAAGAATTGTTTCTGCTTAAACTTATTTTTACTACAAGTCACAGTTAAGCTGCCTCAGTGCATTATCTGTGGGAACACACAGGGTCACAATGCGGATGAAAGCAATAAGAGTTGAATATTGCTACAAAAAGGAGACCTTTTTTCCATATGGAAACCCTGTTGCTCACAGAAATGTGACAATTTTGACTTTTTTATCTTACTTTCAGTAGAAAATCTGAATTTAAAAAATGACTGAGAGGCAAACAAATATGGCAGGGAGAAGCCAGTAGAAGTTCTCTCCTGCACTGGTCTTACTTCAGTGCCTTTGTTTTCAATGAGGGTCTCATTTCTCTTGGGCCTTGAGCAGGAATGATGATTCCTGCCATTAATACCAACAGCCCAGATTTGCCTCTTAAAATTTACTTTTCCCTGGCCCCAGAGACAATTATTCATCCCACCCATCTCAAAACACCGATTTTAACTTGGGTCAAAGTGCTCCCTGGAAGAGAGGGATTTATTGGACCAGATATGAGTGGGTTTGGTGGTGATGTGTGTTTAGGTGTCTAAACCTCCTTTCTGTGATGCATGAGGAGGAATTGCTTTCAGCACATCTTGTCTCATCTCACAGGAGATGCCTGACACAGGTAGGTCTGCTGGCCGCCTCTTAGGACAAGTTTGTTCTCTCCTTTGGCCGTTAAATTGAGATTATATCAATTGTACTACAAATATTCCATGGGAAATTAATCCCATGCCTATCACCTTTCTCTTTATTGGGAAAAAGGGAATATCTAGACACCCAACCTGCCCTTGGGGTTAGTTTAGGTGTGTTGGAAATCACACTAAAGAGATGGCTGCGTGGAGATCTGCACTTTTACTTTGCTCACTTTGCTCAGAGCTTCTTGCAGGTGAGGAAGGAGAAGAAACCAACACAGACTCCATGGATGCACATTAAACCAGTTGCTCTTTTTTTTTTCATGCAAAGTTTGGCCTAAGTTCAGCTTGGCCTCACTGACTGAAGGACTCTGTGTGCTGACTGCTGAAGCCAATTTGTTTTGGAAGAGCTGCTTGTGTTGCTCTGATTCATGCTGGTTGCTTTCCTTCCCTATATCCTCTGTGGAAGTCAAGCTAATTTGGATTCACTGGCATTGCAAAGGCAAACAGCAGTTCAGTGACCCATTTGTGTAGTCTAAGAACAATGAGGTTTTTTTCCAGTAACGAAGCAATTCCTGGGTCTGGCTTTCATGGTTACACAGAGGGGCACTTTGAAGGCTGGAGCTCTGAGGAAAAAAAGTCTCATAAATCTGTGATATTTGCAGAGCTCTTATTGCCTGGGGACTGCTGGTAAGGGACTGGCTTCGACTTTCGCTCAGATAACTCATTGGTATTTTAACAACAAAAGAAAATTTGAGTTTCAAAAATCACTTTCTCAGAGTCATTGAAATTTTTTGGCATGGTAGCCTCTCAAACCTCTTGTTGCTTATAAATATTGTGACAATGAAGATCATCTCCTCCTCTTCACCGTGGGTATGCTCTAAGACCTTGTCTTTTGCTGCTACTAAATAATTTTAACCTTGGTTTTATATTTAAGAGCAAACTGGCACCATGATTACACTCTGACCTGTGCAGC